GCGGGGTGCACACCTATAATCCCAGCACTCTGGAGGCAGGGGGATCTTCAGTTTAAAGTCATCTCAGTTATAAAACGTGTTAAGAGGCCAGCCTGGGCTACCAGGAGACGTTTTGTTATTGTTGTTTTAATTCGTTAGCAAATATGTATATTCTACAACTCGAAAAAAATTTAAGGTCACCTTCTCTGTGAGGTTTTTCTGAGCCAACCCTAAGCAGTCAAGCGAGGAGAATCGGAGGCGGATCCAAACATGAGGGAGCTTTCGGAGCAGCTTCCGGCGGAAGGGAATGGTAAAAGAGCACTGAGCAGGACCAGAAAAGACTTGAAAGTGGCAGATCCTTAAAGAAGTGAGCTGCTGGGTGGCCCTGGGGGCGAAGATGGGGCGGGTCCGGAGAGGGGAGGGGCCGATCGAGGACGTTGGTCCGTCCGGAACCAGGAACCGGGTAAGGCGAGCCAGGAAAGCTAGGATTTCCTAGCAAGCCGAGTGAGCTAGCGCTGTTTGGAATCGACACCTGCCGGAGGGGCGCTGTTCTATGACTTGGGCTCCTCAACTTTCCACAGCCCAAGATCACCCCTACCTCACCTGACGCCGACACACAAGGCAGGAGTGGCCGGAAGCTTCCGCTGTGCGGGCTCCCTTTCCAGTGGAGCCTTTCCTCCGTTTCGCTTCGTCTTGCCGACCTCAGCACGGGTAGCCCCAGCAGGAGGGCAATCGCCTTGCTGAGAAGCAAGCCCCGGAACCCTGAGTGGATGATATTCTGGACACCGATACCACAGGGGATCCACACGTGCAGTGGATCCACACATCTAACTTCACCCCTCTGAATACCCAGTCCGCTACAGTGTCGATGCTTTTTCCTGAAAAAGAGGGAGAACGGCAAGGCTTATGGAAACTAAGTGGTTTTTTTCTGAACTGTGGTGTACCCTTGAAAGCAAACTTCTGGGACCAGGTCAAAGACTTGGAGGGTATGGATTGTGAAGCCCTGACTTTAAACACTCAGGGCAGCCTGTTTTTGCTCTAGCATTCAGAGAGCCGTGTTTCCAGGTCCCCTCCCTCACATTTCACCAGAACCAGGGCTTTCCTAAGTGCTCGAGGAGTGGTCCCAATATGTGTTGCCTTGGCGGCTGCAGTCTTTTTGTGACCCTCTTGTCTTGGTTGTGCAATCTGACCTAAATCCACTACTAGCCAGGACAAAGCCACCTCAGTCCAGGCCCTGCACAGTCAGATCCAGGTTCAGGGGTTAAAGCCCAGGCCTCTTGCTAGGTTACAGTTCCTCAGCTGCACAGACCTGAGAAAGCCATCCCAATCTAGGATCTAGTAATAGGGACATATCCTTCCCGGTGGGAGAGCAGGTGAGGCCTCCAGTGTCCCACTGACTAGTCTTTCATTTACTGCCATCATTTAGGCTGCATGAGACCGGTAACTGTCATCCTGTTCAGTATGAAGGATTGTGGGAAAACAGAGCTAAGGTGGAAAGACTGGGCCTTAATTAAGGTCACACTTAGCCGTAACTAGGACACACCTTTTCCTAAGGCAGTCCTTACACTTTCCACAGCGCTTCAAGCTTAGAAATCTTAGAGAATGAAGCTGAGGTCCAAGGGGATATGAGAGAAGAAAGGATGGGGGCTGAGATGTAGCTCAATGATGAGAACATTTGCCTAGCATTTACAAGGCCCTGAGTTCAAACCCTAGTATGGGGGTGTTGGGGAAGTCGTCATGGATTAATGCTACAAGACTCCCTGAAGGGAGTCACAGATTGTTCTGGGTCATTATCAGAGCTCCTTGACTTGGCTGCCTAACCTTTGACCCAAGCTAGTACACTCTCTGCCTACCCCCCTCCCCAAAGAGGTCACACAATACCACTGACACTGTGTAATGAGAATAAAACAAGCTACAGCAACAGCTACTATTGATTGAACACTTACACTGTCTCCTTTAACTACAGCCACCTGAGTGAGCGTTCTTGCCTAGTATGTGTGAGACCATGGGTATTGATCCTCAACACCAGGACAGAGGAGTCCCATTTTTGCAGATAAGGAAGAGACAAAGTATGCAACATGATGAAAGTCATGAATATCAGAGCCAGATTTCTAAGCCAGGTCTCCTTAACTCTGGAATCCATGTTCTCCTGATCACTGGTCAGCAAAAGAGGTCCTGCCCTGCCCTCCTACTTGCAACCCTGAAAACCCAACCAAGCCTGTTAGTCTAAGTCAGGTCCTTCTCTAAACTTAACTCAAGGCCCTTCCTGCTGAAATCCCACAGGCTTCTTCATCCTAGTGACCTCACTCATCTTGGGGGCCCCTGGCTCCGATCTTTAGGAAGCTTAAAGAGGAAGGAAGGCCTGAGTTGTGGCTGGAGTTCTGTTAAGGTGGCGAGCAGTAGTAGTTCCTCACAGGAACAACAAACAAACAAAAAAGGATTTCCTTTTTCCTACCTCCCAGTCTCAATTAGTTGCAGAAGTAGACTTGAAGAGGCAGTAGAGATTGCCTGGATGATTGGAAAGATATGTAAAGGCTTTCTCTTATCTCTATTTCTCCGCCCCGTTTTGAAGATTGAAAAAATCTATATTTTTAAATAGTTTAATATTAAGAAAATAAGACATGAATGGAGCACTAGGACTTGAAGACAGACTCCTGAGTAAAGAAAAAGCACCAGACTAAGAAATCCCGTGCTTGTGGAGGGAGGATTCCGGCTCCTCCCCCACCCGGGCAGAACTTCTGAGGTCGTGAGAAGACTGCGCCTGGCACCGAGTGAAGGTGGCTATTGTGACTTTCCCGAGCCCGGGAAGGGGTGGCTCAGTGCCAAGGGTGTGACCTGGTCCAAAGCCCTGGGATGGAACTGCCCTTCGTCCCGGCTGTACCCGAGGAGACCCGTTCTGGGCGAGAGGGCGTGTCAAAGGCGGAGTCTCCAGCCCGATCTCCCGCCCCGCTCAGCGTCCGCGTGGTTCTCATACATTTTACCCCCAGATCCTGAGGTCTTAGCCGGCTTCTGGTTGAGGTTGCGCTGCTGAGAGGATCAATCCCCCAAGGTCTGACTGTGACCTCTGCCCAGAAAAGACCAAGGAACGCGCTCTTCGGGCAGACCTGGGCTCCACCGGCTTCCAACTAGTCTGGGACCAAGAGTTTTGGAGTTCGAAACAAGTGAGCCGCCCCAGAAGGACAGAGCCGGGGTATTGGACTCGCCATGGCTGCGCACGCCCGCCGTCTGTGCCATGTCGCTTTCCATGTGCCAGCTGGACAGCCCCTCGCTAAGGATCTACACCGCCTCTTCGGCTTCCAGCCCCTGGCGGTGCGGGAAGCAGGCGGCTGGAGACAGGTGGCCCTGCGCAGCGGAGAGGCAGTCTTTCTAGTGAACGAGGGCTCGGGGCCGGGGGAGCCACTGTACGGCCTGGATCCGCACCACTTGGTGCCTAGCGCCACGAACCTGTGCTTCGACGTGGAAGATGTGGCCGCCGCCGCCCGGACGCTGGCGGCACGGGGCTGCGTGGTGCCGGTACCACCCACTAGCGTGAGGGATGCACAGGGCACAGCCATCTATACAGTGGTCAGCTCTCCGGCTGGTAACCTTAGCTTTACGTTGCTGCAACGTGCAGGCTATCGCGGATCCTTCCTGCCTGGATTCAGACCGCTGCCTTGCACGTCTGGCCCTGGCTGGATCAGCCACGTGGACCACTTGACCTTGGCCTGCACCTCTGGCAGCTCCCCTACTCTTAGGCGGTGGTTCCACGACTGCCTAGGGTTTCATCACTTGCCGCTGAGCCCAGGTGAGGATCCGGAGCAGGGCCTCAAGGTGGCTGCAGAGTCTGGGCGAGGGGGACTAAGGCTTACTGCCCTGCAGATCCCGCCTGACAGCACTGTCCCCACCCTCGTACTGGCAGAGTCCCTACCGGGACTCCCCAACAAACAGGACCAGGTAGAGCAATTTCTAGCCCGCCATGGGGGGCCAGGCCTGCAGCATGTAGGACTATACACTCCTAACATCATGGAAGCTTCTGAGGGGATGGCGAAGGCAGGAGGCCGGCTCCTAACCCCTCCTGAAGCTTACTATCAGCAGCCCGGCAAAGAGGAACAAATCATAGCTGCGGGGCACAAACCTAGTCTTCTAGGACGGCAGGGAATTCTGTTAGATGGCGCTAAAGACACATTTTTGCTTCAGGTTTTTACCAAGTCCCTCTTCACTGAGGACACCTTCTTTCTGGAGCTGATTCAGAGACAGGGGGCCACAGGCTTTGGCCAGAACAACATCCGGGCACTATGGCAGTCGATACAAGAGGAAGCTGCGAGGGCCCAGGGAGCCTAACGCCCGCCATATCTGGGAGTCGCCGCCTGTCCTAGATGCTCTAAGGAGTCCAGCACAGGCCTGCTGGAGCTGACGCGCCTCACAGGATCACACCCCAGATAAAGCCCATCCTTCCCTTCAGGGCCAGGTGCGGGTCTTCATTCCAACCAGTACCAGCCAATTCTAGATTCTCTCGCCGGACTCCAAAGAGATGGGACTTAAAATGTCTGACACCTCTAGGTAATAGAATAAAAGAATGAAGTCGTGAGACACAACACTCTGAACTGCCTTTGTGTCGTCTCTGCATTTCTTCCCCATCCCCTGAAGGTCTTGGCTTTATTAACCCTTGTGCTTTCTGAAGTTTCACTACTTGTGAAATGGACCCTGAATAAATGATTTTGAGGAAGAATTTAATACAAATTCTCCTCTGTGCTGACCTCCCCAGGGAGCAACGGCTGCAGGTGCAGACTAGTCAGGATTAGCCCAACCACCTGCTCTAAAATGATGCTCCAATCAGAGCTTACCTGAGACCCAGAATGGAAGCATTGGATGTCAGCCACTGACAGGTGCTCCCTGCAGCTGCCCTGACTCTGCCAGGGAAGAATACTCAGGTAAGAATGTGTCCAGAGTAAGTCAGAACCAAGCTGACTTGACCATTTTCTGAGCCTCACAAAAGTAAGTGAATGGGGCTAGGTAAAATGTAGAACATTCTCCAAAAGGACTACAGAAATAGGCATTTTATTAGACTGGATTTGGGGTGGGCCTCCCAGAGGTATCACTGGGCCGTGCTGTTGGGTGCATCTGTGGGAATATGAGGCTGAAAGAAACTATCCAGGATTTGCTGGCCCCGACTGGGCTTTTTCCGGCTTGATGGAGTGGACATGCGGGACCTTTTAGAACCCTGTAGAAAATCCAAAGATGGGAAGTAATAAGTACACATCAGGGAATCTTTTGCCTGCCCTACTAATCTAGCCTATGATGCTGTAGGATTTTCCACCTCCCCAAAAGGTGCCCAAAAAAAATCTTGCTAGATGCAAAGATGGGGCTGAGGACATCGCTCAGTTGATAGAGGGATTGTCTAACATGCACAAAGCCCTAGGTTTGCGTCCCAGTGTTGGATAGGTGCAAGGACCTGAGTCGGGGACCCAGTATATATGTTACATGGTTCACAAGCACCTATAACATCAAATCCAGGGGATCCAATGCCCTCTTCTGGCCTCTATGGGTACTACACTCAATGTACATATACCTACACATAGATACATACACATAGTTAAAAATAATAAAAACAAATCTTTTTCTAGGACCCCAAAATTAGCAGTTATTTTCAGTAAGCAGCTTTTCCTGATCCTTGTCTCACAGATGGCTCCCTACCTCAGTTCCCGCAGAACCCAGAACAAATACTATACATCCCCGTGACACCAGAGCCCACACCAATGTTCTTCTCCTCCTACGCTATGGGTCTCACTGTACCATCAGTCCCTAGTTCACAATGGATAATATCCAAGACGTCCATACATGACTTCTAAGAGCCCGAGAGGCAGGCCTGGGGAAGACAAGGGGATGAGCTTCTGAGACTCACCTTGCAGGTGCCTCGCCGATGGTCTTCATACATGCGGAATACCTAGCCAAGACGGAGGTGGGGGAAACAAAACAGGAATGGCACCTTCTCCAAAAGAACCAATAGCCTGAGTTCCACCCTGGCCTATGGACAGCCCCAGCAATTTTATTTAAAATATACATTTCTTTTTTCATTTATACAGCAATAAGTTCATGTAAGAGACAAACAAGACAGCAAAAGTACCTTTTTCATGGCAGTGGAGACAGCTGCATTGTGGAATTCCTCCCAAGTCAACCATCGAGCACCAGGAGGTGCAGGGGTGGCTGGGGTCTGTCCTTCTAGGGATAGACTATATACTTGATATGTCAGTTTGATGTGAGAGAAGACGTGGATCACCTGGGGAGGGAAGAGACGGAGCCGGGTCTGTGAATGTTAACACTCATTCCTGGCACTCATTCCTGGCACCTCTGCTAACCTACCTCTCCCAGGTGCTGGGGACGAGTGTTGGGGAGGGGTCCGGACCAGCTCTGCAGTTCCTGCAGAAGGGCTTTGTGCTGATGCTGGTCTGAGGGCTCCAGGGCGACAGATGGAAACTCCCAGAGTCCGGCCAGCAGACCTGATGGCAGCCAGATAAGGGGTCAGCTTCTTCTACTGCCCCTTTATTCCCTGGTTGCTTGTGACACTGACCTCCAGCCCCCATATTCAGGCACCTGAGTGAGGCCTTTGCACCAACAGAATGAGGGGACTCCCACTGGTCCTGGGCTGCTCCACAACACAAATGGCAGAGTGCTCCTCCCTGGGAGGCCTGCGGCTGGCCTTTCGAGGAAAGTTGGCCACTCCCAGAGAGGGGTCCCAGGGTTTTGTGGGAGGTAGGCAAAGCTGGCACTGTCTAGTCTTGAGAGCTGCAAACAAAGATCCCAAACTCTGCTCAGGCCGAGTGGCCTAAGGTGTCAAGCCCAGGGGGAGGCTTAGTCCCACTGCAGAATCTTACTCAGGCTTGAAAAGGCAGCTCCCTAACAGGGCCAGGAGAGGCAAGCTGGGGTCAGGGCTGGTGCTTACCACACTCCTCTACGTCAGGACTGCCTGGCAAGGCTGAGAGCTGTTCCCGCTCCACCTGAGAGAGACACAGAAGCGTGTCATAGGGCAAGGGTCATTCACCAGGTCACCTTAACTTGTCCTTAGGAGGCTTACCCTCTGGTACGCCTGGCATAGGGTCTGCACAGGGCACTGGCTGCAGAGAGGGTGTTGTGGGGTACACACTGTGGCCCCCAGCTCCATGGCTGCTTGATTGAAGTCCCCAGGCCGGGCTGGATCCACGAGCTGATTGGCTAGGCTCCTAAAAGTAAGGACACTACTGCAAGCAAAAACCCTCTGGACAGACCCTTCCCAGTTTCCCATCATCCCAGCATCTTACCAGAGATGACGAGAGACAACGGTGCTGCTGGGATCAGCACCAATGGCGCGGACACGGCACAGCACCCGTAAGACATTCCCATCCACCACACCAGTTACCTGGCACAGAGGAACCTGGGAGTCAGACTGGACTTGGAGGAAGGGGGGTGTGCACACTGAATGTAGGTGGCATACAGGTTTACCCGGTCAAAGGCAATGGAAGCAATGGCTCCAGCTGTGTAGCGCCCCACGCCAGGCAGGAGCTGCTGCAGGGTCTCTGCTGTCCGTGGCACATGACCGCCTAGCTCCTCTACCACCTGGTTGGAGTAGCAAGGTTTAGTTTGAGGACACCTGAGGCTGCGGGCTTCCTAGTCAGCGCACCACCACACACTTACCTTCTTAGCTCCCTCCTGCAGCCGACGGCCTCTAGAATAGTAGCCCAGGCCAGACCAGAGCTGGTTCACCTCCTGTAGGTGGAGGTCAGAGGTCAAAGACGGGTGGTCGGTCCCTCAGTTGTTATCATTCCCCCTACCCAAGGGTGGCTCACCTCCAGGGAAGCACTGGCCAGGTCCTGAAGCGTTGGCCACTTCTGAGGAAGTAAGGTCAAGGATGAGGGTGTGAGAGGAAGCCTTTTCCGGGGTCTAGGGGTCTAGCCGACTCTCCCCTCCCTCCCTGGCATCACCTGCATCCATCGTGTATAATAGTCGATCACCGTGGCAACCTGGGTCTGCTGCAGCATAACCTCTGACACCCATACTGGGGAAGGGGATTAACATGAGGTACTGCTAACTCACCCTGACTCCTAGCCCCTAGTCCCCAAACCTAAACATAGTCCCTAAACTAAGGACTTGCAGGCACAGCAGCCCAGTTATGTACTGACCAGCATAGGCCCGCCTGTCCAAGTTGGCTTCCTCCTCTACCTGTCAATGAAACCACAGGTGAAGACTCAGAATTGAAAGGGCTGAGTCAGCTTCCCAGCCCACTGTCCCTGTCCCACTTACCCATCTTCTCCAAGGCAGGTCCCGCTTCTCTTGGTCATACCAGCTGAGCAAGTTCCTTCGGAATGTCGTGACATCGGTCACGTCTCTGAACAGATGGTACAGGCAGACAGAGGTTTGCAGTATCTCCTCATCCTTCCGCTTCGCCCGGCCTGCAGGACGGCCAGGACACTCTGGATTACCCTTCCCCTCCATAGTTTCTTTTAAGAACTATTTTTAAGTGCGCGTGTATCTGAGGTATCTGATTCCCTAGAGCAGGAGTTCTGGGCAGTTGTAAACTGCCTGACAGCTAAAATGTCTCTCCAGCAGCAGGGTCTCAACAAGATCTCAGTCCAGGCTGGCCTCAAACTTGCTGTGTAGCCAAGGCTAGCTTTAAACTCCTAATCCTCCTGTTCCAACTCCCCAAGTGCTGGGATTATAAGGGTGATTGCTACCTCTGGCTCTTCCATATTAAATATTTTATTCTTATTGTGTATGAATGACATGAATGTGTAGGCAGGCATGCCACGTGTGCATGTGGAGGTCAGAGGGCAGCATTCAGAGTTGGTTCTCCCCTCCCACCTTTCTGTGGGCCCTGAAGATCAAGCTCAGGTAATTAGGCTTGTGTGACAAAAGCTTCTTCCCACTGAGCCATCCTGCTGGCCCCTCTTGGAATTTTTTTGCACAGGTCCATCAAGAACTCAGGGTATAGCAACCTCTAGTAGCAACCTGTAGTAGCCTGTTCGTATTTGGGGCTTCTCCTACCCACACCCCTCACGCAGTCTTTAGAGCTACAATTGGAGTTCTAGTTATGTGTAGCCTTGGCCAAATTTCTGGTCTTAGTTTTGCCGGTGTCTTTGTTCTCTCTGGGCTACAAATGAAAACTCAATAGTTTTAGTTAGACAGAATAGGTACCCATGTAGGGTGTTTCCCTATTTTCAAAACTCATTCAGGTTTATAAACTCATTTGATTTATAAACTCGTTTGCACGACAGTGAAGAAATGTGTTGATGAAACTGTTCCATTCTACTGTTAAGAAAACACCCAGAGCGCGTGGCCCAAAGTTACACAGCAACAGTCAGAATTAGCTTCTTAAATCCTTGGTACATAGCAAGCTTGAATCTGCCCTCTTGTACGGCCAGTGAAACCAGTCCCTTGACACTCTGGCAGGGGCCGAGCTCCTTACCATCAGGGGCAGAAGGTTTGGCCTGGCTGCTGCTAAGGGCACATTTTCCCCTTCTCTCAGGGTTAGCTGGTAGCTTTTTGTGACTCCTGACAGACGCTCGTAGCTTCTTCATGATAACCTGGAAGAGACAGATGTAGCCAATGGGGTCAGCCACAATGAGGCTGAATATGAAGTCCTGAAGGAATTAGAGCCGCCTCTCCCCAAATCACTCAGAATGTCCAGCTTGGCTTTTTCTTTTCATTTCTTTTTGGTTTTTCGAGACAGGGTTTCTCTGTAGCTTTGGAGCCTGTCCTGAAACTTGCTCTGTAGACCAGGCTGGCCTCAAATTCACAAAGATCCGTCTGCCTCTGCCTCCTGAGTGCTGGGATTAAAGGCGTGCGCCACCACCACCTGGCTTTGCTTTGCTTTTCTGTTTTTTGTCTGCATGCATGCACGCATGTACCACATGCTACCCTGAGAGGCTGGATGTTAGATCCTCTGATACTGTAGTTACAGCTGTGAGCTGTCATATGCATTCTGGGAACTGAATTCTACTATAAGAACAGCAAGTGCTACCAGGCTTAATCCCAATATTTGTGAGTTCGAGACCAGCCAGGTCTCCAAAGCGAGACAGGACAGCCAAGACTGTTCCACAGAGAAACCCTGTCTCGACAAAAAACAAACAAACAAAACCCAGCAAGTGTTATTCAATGCTGAGCCATCTCTCCAGGCCCCTGTGTCTTTTGAAACAGGGTCTCACTGCATAGTCAAGGCTGGCTTCACACCCTGGTCCTCTGTGATGCCTAATCTTGGTTGTGAACTTGACTAAATCCCGAGCATTTGGGCATGTCTATGAAGAATTTTCTGTTTCTTTTTTTTCGAGACAGGGTCTTACTGTGTAGCCTTGGCTGTCCTCTGTAGACCAGGCTGGCTTCAAACTCACAGAGATCCACCTGCCTCTGCCTCACAAAAATGAGAAAACAAGAATTAAAGAGGGAAAAAGATATGCCCAAGAGCAGATGGCAAATCAATGAGAAGAGAGATGGGCTAGTAAATCTTAACTGGCCAGCCATTAGTAACGAGAAAATACATCTGGCTGACTGTTACTAGGCTGTTTTCCTGGTTATCTTATTTATTTATTTATTTATTTATTTATTTATTTATTAAGTATACAGCGGTTTGTCTGTATACTTACAGAAGAGGGAACCAGTTCTCATTACAGATGGTTGTGAGCCACCATGTGGTTGCTGGTAATTGAACTCAGGACCTTTGAAAGAGCAAGCTGTGCTCTTAACCTCTGAACCATCTCTCCAGCCCCTGGTTATCCTTTCTCTAATTGTAAAAACATAACGAACAGGAAACAGCAAGATGGCTGAACAGATAAAGGTACCTGCTGCCAAGCCTGGTTATCACAGCATGTATGGGCTCACACACACACAAAACATACCAGAAAGGAAGGAAGGAAGGAAGGAAGGAAGGAAGGAAGGAAGGAAAGAAGGAAGGAATTCAATGCAATGCCCAGCAAAATTCTTCAAAGACCTTGAAAGAACAGTATTCAACTTCATTTGCAAAAGCAAAAAATCCAAGATAGCCAAAACAATCCTGTGCAATGAAAGAACTTCTAGAGGCGTCACAATCCCTGACTTCAAACTCTATTACAGAGCTACAGTACTAAAAACAGCCTGGTATTGGCTAAGAACAGACAGGAGGACCAATGGAACTGAATAGAAGACCCAGATATCAATCCACACATCTTCGAATACCTGATCTTTGATAAGGAAGCAAAAAATATCAAATGGAAAAATGAAAGCATATTTAACAAGTGATGCTGGCATAACCGGATATCAACACGTAGAAAAATGAAAATAGACCCATATCTATCACCATACACAAAACTCAAGTCCAAATGGATCAAAGACCTCAACATAAAGCCAGCCACACTGAACCTGATAGAATAGAAAGTGGGAAGTACACTTGAACGCATTGGCACAGGGAACCACTTCCTAAATAAAACCCCAGTAGCACAGACACTGAGAGAAACAATTAATAAATGGGACCTCCTGAAACTGAAAAGCTTCTGTAAAGCAAAGGACACCGTCAACAAGACAAAATGACAGCCTACAGAATGGGAAAAGATCTTCACTAACCCCACATCAGATACAGGTCTGATCTCCAGAATATACAAAGAACTCAAAAAATTGGACACCAAAAGATCACATAATCCAATTAAAAAAAAAAAAATGGAGTACAGACCTTAACAGAGAACTCTCAACAGAGGAATCTAAAATGGCTGAAAGACACTTAAGGAAATGTTCAACATCCTTAGTCATCAGAGAAATGCATCAAAACAACTCTGAGATTCCATCTTATACCTGATGACAACTTATGTTGGAGAGGTTGTGGGGAAAGGGGAACACTTCTGCATTGCTGGTGGGAATGCAAGCTGGTATAACGCCTTTGGATGTCAGTGTGGCTATTTCTCAGAAAATTAGGAAACAACCTTCCTCAAGACCCAGTAATACCACTTTTGGGTATATATCCAAAGGATGCTCAATTGTGTCACAAGGACATGTGCTCAACTATGTTCACAGCAGCTTTGTTTGTCATAGCCAGAACCTGGAGACAACCTAAATGCCCCTCGATCGAAGAATAGATAAGAAAAATGTGGTACATTTACACAATGGAGAAAAATAATAATGACAGCTTCAATTTTGCAGGAAAAAGGATGGAGCTAGAAAACATTATTTTGGGTGAGGTAACCCAGACACAGAAAGACAATTATCACATGTACTCACTCATAGGTGGTTTTAAAATGTAAAGCAAAGAAAGCCAGCCTACAAACCACAATCCCAGAGAACTTAGACAACAATGCAGACACTAGGAGAGACTTACATAGATATAATCTACATGGGAAGTAAAAAGTAGAAAAAAACAAGATCTCCTAAGTAAATTGGGCGCATGGGGACCTTGGGGGAGGGCTGTAGGGGGGAGGGGAGAGGCAGGGAGGGGTGCAGAGAAAAACGTAGAGCTCAATAAATATCAATAAAATAAAAAAAAGAAGGAGAAAAAAAATAAAATAAGAAAGAGGCTTTAACGGAAGTATCTAACACTTCAGAGTGGGTGCTTATTCTCTGCTCAACCCCAGGCGGTGCTTTACTGGGTTGGCGGCTCAACCCAATGGCTCCTGGAGGCAGGAACTATTACTTCCATTTCAGCTCAGAAAGCAGAGGCTAGGTAAGCAACTTGATCCTATCTTTGGTTGTGCTGCAATCCTACCAAACCTGTTTTAATCTCTTCCTACCAGTACTTGGAATTCACCACTTCACTTTCATCAAATGACCATGCTTTCGCTTTTGGGTGTGTGTGTGTGTTGGGGGGGGGGATATACAAACTATTGGCTCTGTCTTCTTCCCACCTCTCCGTGATGGCCCCTCTTTTTTCCTAGGCCCCACACCTACAATACTCCAATACTCTGAACAGGACATTCTCTTCCCCTTCATCACCAACCTCCTTTGACACACTTGCTCACTTTCACAATTTCTCCTTCGGCCTGTTCTCCGAAGAAAGCAATCTTTCCAAGATATGATCATTGCTTCCACAACGTAATCCCAGTAATCCCACGTTTGCACCTGTAATCCCAGTGTTTAGGAGGTGGAGCCAGGAGGTTCAGGAATTCAAAGTCAAGGTCATCTTCAGCTAAAAAGTTTGAAATCTCTCCTAGCCAATATGAAACCACAAAAAAAACCCAGAAGTGATCATGGCTTTTTTTTTTTCCACTTCCATATATGAACTGTTTAATAGCTTCCCATCAATCCTTTAACAAATGTTTTTAGAATTGCCTACTGTGCGGCAAACAATTTACCTCAGTGTGGGTACAACAGAGGTCCTTGTGATCACAGATGAGAAACAGGGGAACTAGGAATGTTAAACACCACAAGGTTGTTTCTTTACCTATTTCCCACCTAGAAGGCTCATGATCTCTGCTCTACCTGTCGGGCTAAGAGGACAACTGATCCTCCCCAGACCATTACTGTGAGCTTGTCAATCTACAGAACCTACTGTTATACAAGATCTCACAGACACTTTACAAAGGGTTTTGATGTAGTCACGTCTTAAGTTTTATTGTGTACACGGGGTTAAGTCATTTATCAACAGGAAATCTTTCACCAAACTGTGTTGTGCTTAAATATGTCTAAAATAAGCTACTTGGGGTGAGAATCCCGAAGTTTAAGCCAACACTGGCCACTTAGCTGTGTTGAACTTAACCACCTTCTTGCCTCCGGAAGATGATGCTCTGCTGGCCTTGGCGGTTGCAGAGACCCTCAAACCTCAGCAAACACAGAGGATTCTTCCAGAGGAGAGCTTATAATCTAACAGAAGCCAACAGAGAACAACACACATAATAAATTACATAAGATATTTCAAAGAAGAAACGCCTAGGAAAGAGCACAAATGTCTCAGTTTTCTAAAAACTGCTCACTCTCCAAAGCTACAGAGAAACCCTGTCTCAAAAAACAGAAAGGAAACAAAACATCGAACAAACAAACAAGGGTGGCATTAAGGGCATGTAACCCAGCACTCCAGGTGTGGAGATTGAGGATTTTTGTTGTCCTTGTTTTAAAGGAAGATCAAGGTCAGCCTGTGCTACTAGAGACCCTTTTTTTCTTTTTCTTTTGCCGATTTGTTGTTTGTTTTTTGGAGGTTTCGCAGGATTTCTCTGTGTAGCCACTGGCTGTCCTGGGTGACTCCATAAACCAGGTTGGCCTTGAATTCTAGAGACCCACTGTCACTTGAGCGCTGGGATCAAAGGCGTGCCCCACCGCCGCCAGGGTAAGACTCTAGTTTAAAAAAATCAAAAAACAAAAAAACCCAAACCCTCCACAAATGTATATGAGGTCTCTTATTTCCTTAGAGCCTGTGCCAAATATATCTATCATACACAATACATATTTGTTAAATGAATTAATGGGATGGGGAAGATTTAAAGGAGATTCCTTTTTCAGTGAGGTGAGGTAATGCTGCATATTGATAAAAAAAGACACTCCCTCCAGAAAAATGGTTGATTCAGGGGAAATCCAGGCCGGTAGGCGGAGAATGTGCACGCGCCTTACGGTGGCACTGGTTTCCGACGAGTGTTACTACTACCTCTCTTACGACGGGTCAAATTCGGACAAGTTGGCTCTTCCTTGATATCCTACTATCAAAGCCTTAACCCAAGTGCACATTATCACTGTGTGAATTATCTTAAAAGCGTTCCTGCCGATTGGTCGTTTTACCACCTATACCCGCGTCCGGTAAAACGCCTCCCGCCTCTCCCTTCCTCCAACTTTCTGGGGTTGTGTCCACGCTCAGACCCTTTACAAAGTGCGGCGCGCCCAACTCTCCTGAGCTCCTAGGCATGGTTTAGTTCAGCATAGGAGGCATGCTCTCCTCCACCCCCGGGAATCCTGCGCTGCCCATGCCAGCCCTGGGCTGTTAGATGAAAAGATCGGTAGTGACTTAAAAATTCCAAGTTCCCGCCAGAGCATGCGGGGAAAATAAATTACCTCCCGCGCAATCTCCAGCCCGCTGCCCCGGAGAACTCGCCAAGGGGCGTGGCTTCGCCCAGTCCGGACGCTCAGCCAATAGGCTCTCGGCGCGCGCAAGGTCCGCTCTCCGCGCTCGGCCCGGACACTCTGAACGGAAGTTGACCCCACGAGACCCAGACGGCGAGACCCGCCCCATCCTGCGCCGGAGTCTCTCCGGGAGACGAAGCGGAAGTCTCCGCGTACTTCCAGAAGACTGGCGCTGGGCGCGCGGCATCATGGCCGCCGACAGTGACGACGGTGTGCCTTCGGTTCCAGCGACCTCTGACGGTGAGCGACTTCCCAGGAGGTAGCCACAGAAGCCTCCAGGGTCCTGTGGAGGGATAAGCCTCGGGCCGGTAGTCCTAGAGTCAGGCCTGTAGCTTCTGTTAGCGCCTGCTGTCCTAGGAGACTACAAGTCCCAGTGTGCAGCGCGTGCAACTTTAAAGCCCGTGAAGTTAGATTGTAGAGCAGTGAGGGAGGTGCTGTTTGGCTCGAGCCGGTGGTTGTCAATCGGTAACACCAGGGAAGTGGGGAGTCGTCCACGGTAAGTGGAGCTTGGGTCTAACTTTGAAGCACTCTTGTATCTGTTGAGGCACCATGAGTATGGAACCGTACGGGCTCTGTGTTTGAGACAGGATCTTGCTCTATAGCACAGACCGGCTTTCAAACACAAAGGCCCTTCAGCTTTATGCTCCCTAGTCCTGAGATTACAGGCTCGGAGGAGAAAGAATACTCAAAGGTTGTCTACACTTGTCTCCTGAGTATGTTGCAAAACAGGAAAGGATTTCCCAGTCCCACATAAAGCCACTGCAAGACCCAGATACTCTCTTTCCACGTTTAGGGCACTGTCCAAGGCGTGTGTGTGTGTGTGTGTGTGTGTGTGTGTGTGGTGTGTATCCTCTATAGCTGGAGGTTGCAAGATCTCTAGGGAGAAGCTTGTCAATGGGCAACCCTTCTCCTACATCTAGCTTGGTGTCTGATCCACTGGGACCTTGTGGGAACATGACAATTCATTTCCTTTATCCCTAGGTGATGTCAACAAAACCACAAAATCTGCAGAGGAATTTGTGGTACGGGTTCCTGTCGTGGATGTACAGAGTGACAATTTCAAGGAGATATGGCCATCGCTCTTGCTGGCGTTAAAGACGGCTAGCTTTGTGGCTGTGGACACGGTGAGGCCTGGGAAACAGGGAGGACAGGTGGCTGTGAAGGGTTTTGTGGGTGTGGGAGATAATCACAGTCCTTTACCCATCCATAGGAGCTGAGTGGGCTTGGGGACAGGAAGAGTTTGCTAAATCAGTAAGTATAAGGCTTTTCTTGTTCATTTTTTTGGTTTTTCAAGACAGGGTTTCTCTGTGTCTTTGGAGCCTGTCCTGGAACTATTTCTTGTAGACCAGGCTGACCTCGAACTCACAGAGATCTGCCTCTGCCTCCCAAGTGCTGGGATTAAAGGCGTGTGCCACCCCCGCCCCGCATAAACCTTTTCTTTAACACCCTAACAAGTGTGTAGATCTCAGTCCAGGGTAGGGCATCCCAGCTCTCAGTAGTCTGGGTCCTTTGTGAAACTAACTTAGCCACAGCCATGCCCAAACCCAACTCTTCAGGTGCATCGAGGAGCGTTACAAGGCCGTGTGTCATGCTGCCAGGACCCGTTCTGTTCTGTCCCTGGGCCTCGCCTGCTTCAAGCAGCAGCCAGATAAGGTATGAGCTTCCCTCACCCCAGATGTGAGGCATGGGGCAGAAGAGTAGAGGTGGTGAAGGTTGGGAGGTTTTCTTCCTAATTTTTGATAGAACAGATCCTCCTTGTTTTTCAGGGTGAAAATTCTTACTTGACCCAAGTGTTCAATCTCACCTTACTGTGCATGGAGGAGTATGTCATAGAACCAAAGTCTGTGCAGTTCCTGGTACAGCACGGCTTCAATTTCAACCGGCAGTATGCTCAGGGTATCCCCTACCATAAGGGCAACGACAAGGTAGGGGTCCAGCTTCTGTCACCTTGAGTCTGTGTTTTCTGTGGCTTATTTCTCGCTGTCATAGACTGGACTGCCTGGGGGACATCTGCTTGTAAATATGGGGAGTCACTGGTGACAAGTCTGGGGACACATGAGACATACGAGGGAGGGTAGCATTGGGTTGGAAAATGAGGGAGTACTTCCCAGGTGTGCCGCCCAAGAGTCTGACTGGGCAGACATTCTGTTCTTCCCACTGACCCCTTCCCTTCCACCTAGGGAGACGAAAGCCAGAGCCAGTCAGTACGGACCCTGTTCCTTGAACTGATTCGGGCCCGTCGGCCCCTGGTGCTGCATAATGGCCTTATAGATTTGGTGTTCCTGTACCAGAACTTCTACGCACACTTGCCTGAGAACTTGGGAACCTTCACTGCTGACCTGTGTGAGATGTTCCCAGCAGGCATTTATGACACCAAATATGCTGCAGAGTTTCATGCCCGCTTTGTAGCTTCCTACTTAGAATATGCTTTCCGGAAATGGTGAGGACACGGTTGAGGGAAAGGGGTGGGGCCTGGTATGAACCTATTTCATTCACTTAAGATTATTTATCAAGTACCTACCATATGCCAGGCACTGTTTTTAGGTGCTGAGGATTCAGCAGTGAACAAAACACAAACCCCCTTGTTCTCGTGGAGCTTATATGCTAGTGGAGCAAAACCCTCTTGCGCTGTTGCAGTGAGCGGGAAAATGGGAAGCGGCAGGCAGCTGGCAGCCCACATCTTGCCCTGGAGTTCTGCAGCTATCCATCTAGCATGAGAGGCCATATTGACTACCGCTGCTGCATGTCCCCTATAACCTCCCGTCGTTCTCACACCACTGGCATCTGCACCAAGTTCTCGGTGAGAACATTCACCCTTTTTTGGGGGGAAGGGGGGTTCTGATGTATAGAACCCCTTCTAAGCCTCTTTCCACCCCTAGGCCTATGGCTGGTGCCCTCTAGGACCTCAGTGTCCTCAGTCACATGATATTGACCTTATCATTGACACTGATGAGGCTGTGGCAGAGGACAAACGGCGACGGCGGCGACGTAAGGACAGACGGAAGAGGGCCTTGCTGAACCAGCCAGGGACAGAGACCTTTGAGGAAGCTGAAGATGGTCCTCCCACAAAGCAGGTCTGTGAAGATAGCCTCAAGACAGAAATTGAGCAAAAAGTGACAGAGGGTGAAACTAGGGATCAGCTTGGCTCCAACCAAGATCACAAAAGTGATTTAGAGGTGGAGCATAAGGCAACAAGTTCTGAAATAGCTGATGTGGCTGCCTCAGAACTGCCAGTGAGTCAAGCCAGTCCTAATCCTGTGCCTGGGGATGGATTGCATCGGGCTGGTTTTGACGCCTTTATGACAGGCTATGTGATGGCCTATGTGGGACTGAGGCACGGACCTCAACTCTGCAGTTCTGGACCTTGGCTTCCTGAATGTCACAATAAGGTATACCTAAGTGGCAAAACTGTACCCCTCACAGTGGCTAAGAGCCAGTTTTCTCGTTCTTCCAAAGCCCACAACCAGAAAATGAAGCTGGCTTGGGGCAGCAGCTAACCCAAACATCTGCCTGGCACTAGACCTAGGGAAAGAAGCTAAGACTAGGAAAGAGATGTTTGGCACTGAGTCTGCATACCCTGAAGGCTGGGCAGAAGACTGCTACAGTTCATGGCCTGCTGTATGGCAAAACCCTATTTCAAAGTTATGTGAGTTGTTAGCCTGTGTATGTTGTGTTTAAGTACTACGGAGTTGTTGTGCAGGTCCTGGCAGAGACAATGAGCGCTTTACTGTTTTCTTTTGTACAAGAGACCTGACCCAGGGGTACAAAATAAGACTAACTAGCACCTGGAACATCAACTTTATTTTTTAATCTGAAAGTGTCTTGGGAAAAGTTTTACAAAAAAAAAAAATCAACAGAAATGAATTATGAAAATATTTAACCAACTTCATTCTTTGGTTATTTCTTATTGCGGCTCTGTAAGGACAGACTGTTCCCAAAGCTTCAGCTATAGCAGGGAGAAAATCAGTCCAAGTGTAATACATTAACTTCTGTTTGTATCACCTGTTGACACATACATAGAGCAGGCCCTGGGGCCTACAAATCAGCCCCACTCCCAACACCAAAGTTGAAAGTCTTGAGGCAAAACATTAAGACTCCTTTATAAATATGAAAATAGATTAATCAACTGGAAAAGTCTTTGAATAGGTTAGCTAAAATATCCTTGACCACCACGTTGCCTTGTCCCCCCTTGCATAGAGATGTAGTGATGTGGTCTGACCATACAGTACGTGCAAACAGCAATTATTCAAGTGTCTTAGACATACTGGCAAGAAGCATCCCAGTCTTCAGGTCTGAGAAACAGCCATGCCCTTTACAGCCTCCTAGTTAACTCCAGTGTCCATCCTGTAGCTTATATGCCCCAGAATGGGCACAAGAGACCTAGGATGGAAAAGGAACTAGGTAATAGCTGCATAGCTGCCTGCCAGCTCAGCCTGGAACTAAAGAGTCCTTTGGTCCTATCTAGGACGTGACTGTCAATGGGAGCCAGAGCTCCTTGCTGGATTTCAGAGGCTTAGAATTGGGTTGGCCCTAACTACATTGGGCACTGAAAGCCCAATTTTTAAGCCAGGCTTTTCTCAGCCTGCCTGGGGCTCCAGAGAAGAGCCTGGCTGTGCACCAAGGGTATCCAGCAGTTTCAGGTAAAGGTCCATTCCTAAGGTGAGGTAGGGACTAGTCCTCCCCCCACCTCACCCATCCTGCTCTCCCTGGGTTTGGAAGTTAATTCCAGAGATGGAGAAGAGGACAGGAGCCATTTGTGGCCTTTCTTCCACCTCCATCTCCTCAGAGGCATTGTCAGCACATGGGCTGGTCCCCTTCAGCTTGGGTCCAAAACCGTTTTCTTCTTGGGGGTTGGAGCAATCCATGGCCTCATGGACTGAAGCAGCTGGTAGGGCAGAAGCCCGGAATGGTGGGATCTCTCTTACTCCATACTTGAGACTACTGAGTCGTGGTGGAGGCCCATCAGATAGTGATTCCTCACAGCCCACAAATGGACAAGCCTGATGCAAGAACTCGGGTGAACCAGGCAAAGAACGCCACCGTCTGGAAGACATGGCCAGTGGCTCCTGACAATCAGCCAGAGGTGTAGTTCCAGGCCCTGGTGCGTCCAGGTCGAATACAAGGGAAATGACAGATTTGCTGGGCAGGTCAAAGAATTTGATCTTGCCACCCTTGAGATCTTGGCGTGCACTGAAAGGATTAACTTTTGGGGTATGTGTAGCACCATCTCGTGGCCGATAGTAGGGGTCCAAGACACTGACTGTACGTGGAGGCTTACGAGAGAAAATATCTGACTGGCTTCGAGACAGCCCAATAGTACGTCTTGGCCGTGGAGACTTATGGGGAATCTTGTCGTCCAGTGAGCTCAGTCGCTTCCCACCATGTACTTTGTCCACTGGTCCTGACGAACAGTAAGCTGTGTTACTCAGTGTAAGCAGACTGTGTTACACTTTTCTTGAGGAAAGTGAGACACGTAGTTGCCCCATTTTATCAATGAGAAAAGAGGGAAGCTATGTGCCAAGTCATAGCTCTAAGATCGCCTACTACTTGACTGTCCATGACCACTCCCCTCCCACTTCTGGACCTAGGATCTTTCCCCTGGGGGGATGTCTCACATCTCACCCCTCCCTTCCTGGTCTGAACTCTTACCTTTAACCGTGCGCTGCAGCTTACTGTCCTTTTCCAACTCTTCTTCCCGTAGGCGGCTCATAATTTCCTCAAGGGTCTTTCCAATTTCCTCAAAGGATGGGCGCAGTTTGGGGTCCATCTGTATACATCCGTACCAGCCATGAGCCCTGCACTGCACTTCTCACCCCAAAGATGAAATTTGAATCTGTTCCTGGCATCTTTTAAGATTCAGGTTGGGTAACTAAAGTTTTCTCTTGTGTTAGGACTGGCTGTTGCTATAGTTCAACAAATAAAACCTGACAAAGCTTGGTCAGCACTCAGGGCACAGCCAAGGGTCTACCCTGCAAGCTGAGTACTGAAAAATACAAAGCAGTTCTTTGGTCCAGGGTACTCAGGAGAGCCTATATAGGCCAGAGTAGGAAATATGGTTGGTGCTACACATCTAGGGAGAATGAAGCCATGCCCCTTATGAGATTAATTTGTAGCTTTTCCCTTTAGTCCTAACCAAATGAAAAGGGCTCAGCACCTGACCAAAGCCAGGTGAAGGATACTCACATTACAGCAGTTGAAGGTGAGCTGTAAAAACTCTGAGGGGCAGTCTCCTACCATGTGCTGGAAAGCATCATAATCCAGCCCAAAATTCTGTGGATGAGTAAAGTGGAGAAGTGTACAAGGGAAATGAATAGGTAAGTCATTAATCACACCCACTAATCCTGGCCTACTCAGAAGAGGCTAGGAACTGCCTCAGACATAGCTACAGAGTAGTGCCAGCAACTCCACCCCAAGGATAAAACTTTGATAAGCAAACCAACTCCATCCCTGTGGTGCTGGTTCCACGTCAGTAGCTCACCTCTGTGCGGGGAAGATAGTCTGGATCAGCTTGGATGCGGGCGATGATCTCGCAGAGGATGATTCCATAAGAGAACACATCTGCCTGGTAGATGGTCAGACTTCAGTTTTTCTCTTAGTGGAGTAAGGAGTGGGATATCTTCCTACCCCAACCTCTTAACAGCCTAGTCTGGGCTACATTACCCATATTCCGTTAACAATAACGAAATGCTAGCCCTATATTTAGTAGGCAGGATACTGATCCTTACCTGGGCCACAGGATAATCAGGCCTTGAAATCTTCAGACTTACCTTCTCGTTATAAGGTTCATCTCGAAGAACCTCAGGTGCCATCCAGAAAGGTGAGCCCACCACAGCCAGCTTCTCACTCCCTAAACTGTGAAGTAAAGAAGAAAGCTTGCCAGTGCCTAGCACAATGGGAAGTAACAAAACAAACAAACAAAACCAAGGTTTCACATAGCTTGGACTATATGTAATGGGAGATGACTTCCAGCTATTGATCATCCAGCCACTACTGAGTTCTGGGATTTCAGGCATGCACCACCATGCACGGTTTGTGTGATGGTGGAGTTTTCTCAAAGCTTTGTGCTTTCGAGGCAAACAAGCACTATACTAACTGGACTATGGTAATCGTAGCCCTTGAGTCTTTACTGTTTGTTGATACAGAGGCTTATGAAGTCCTTACTGAACTCAAACTTGCAGTTTGCCTTGAAAGTACTGGGATTACAGGTGTGTGCCACTATGCTTCACTACACAATCAGATCTTCTGATTGGGTTTTGTTGCTCCCAAGGCTGGATATAGACCTGGATGAGTCAAGTCAAGGAATGAACTTGAGCTGTTGCTAGGTTCTGGCCTTTGGGAAAGAAGCTGGACTTATCATTAGTTGTGACCACTGCCTGTGCCCTGTAGGGTTACTCACCTAGCATCAGGAATCTTCTCAGCCAGGCCAAAGTCAGCTACCACTGCAGAGTAACCATTTTCATCTCTCTTTATCAGGCAGTTCTAGGGTTCCCAAAGAAGAGAAAAGAAGGTGGCTTAGAAGTAGGGAGGGATTATCCAGCTGTGTCTCCTTGTCTTGTCCTGTTTCCTGGTGAACCACACACTTAGCCTGATTCCAGGGCCAAAACTGGGGCTTTAATACAGCAAGTGAGGTTGGTGTGATGGCACAGCCTTTAATCTCAACCCTGGGAAGGCAGTGAGTTCCAGGCAAGTCAGGATATACAATAAGACCCTGTGTGATGACTATTCTTGATTGTCAACTTGACTACATCTGGAATTAACTAAAACCCAAGTGTCTGGGCACACCTGTGAGAGATCTTACATCATTTCAAATGGGAAGATCCACTTTTAATCTGGGTCACACCCTCTGCTGGCAGTCTAGATAAAGGATGTGGAAGAAGGAAGTTTGCCCTCATTCTCACCGACATACCACACCTTCACTAGCATTAGAACCTATTTCTTTTGAGAACTGGTACATACTGAAGACCAACTGAGACATAGAGCCTTGTGGACTGAACACCTACTGGATTCTTGGACCTTCTGTTGGTAGACAGCCATTACTAGTCTAGTTGGACAACAGCCTGTAAGCCATTCTAATAAATCTATTCATTCTGTAATGAATGTTCGATTCCTCTAGAGCAGTGGTTCTCTACCTTCCTAATGCTGTGACCTTTTAATACAGTTCCTCATGCTGTGATATAAAATTTTTTTTGTTGCTGCTTCATAACTGTAATTTTGCTACTGTTATGAATGTAAGTATTTTGAGAGATAGAGGTTTGTCAAAGGGCTCACGCCTTTAACAATGGTTGAGAACCATTTCTCTAGAGGACCCTAACTAATACACCCTGTCTGGAAAAAAAATTCAGATGAGTTAATCCTGGATCTTGAAATGATTTGTTTATTTTCACTTTGTACACTGATCTTTTTTCAATGCATTGATTTTCATTTTGTACACTGTACATTGATGCCTGCATTTATGTCTGTGTGAGGATCTCAGATCCCTTGGAACTGGAGTTACAGTTTTGAGCTGCTATGTGAGTGCTGGAAATTGAACCTGGGTCCTCTGGAAGAGCAGGCAGTGCTCTTAACCACTGAGTTATTTCTCCAGCCCTGGTTTTTGGTGTTTTTTTTTTTTCCACCTAAATATTAAGCCACCTCCCACAAGTAAAGGGATGGAATCAGTACATAATGGTCTTCATTTGATCCGTGAAAATGTGCTTGGGGGTCCATACAGTTTTCTGAGTAATAGTACAAAATCTCTTTACTCATTTTCATAGCATGTCAGAAGCAAGTTCACGGGACAGTAATGGAAGACAGGATAGCGTCTCCCCAGGGGAAAATCTGGTCCTGATACAGACTGGAGGGAGGTGATGAATTCTGACCAGTCATACTCATGGTAGTGTGACTTTTTTTTTGGTGGGGGGGGTCCAAGACAGGGTTCCTTATATATATATATATATATATATATTTTTTTTTTTTTTTTTTTGGTTTTTCGAGACAGGGTTTCTTTGTAGCTTTGGTGCCTGTCCTGGAACTAGCTCTTGTAGACCAGGCTGGCCTCGAACTCACAAAGATCCGCCCGCCTCTGCCTCCCGAGTGCTGGGATTAAAGGCGTGCGCCACCACCGCCCGGCTCCTTATATATATTTTAATTTATTTTTCAAGACAGGGTTTCTCTGTAGCTTTGAAGCCTGTCCTAAAACTAGTTCTTGTAGACCAGGTTGGCCTCAAACTCACAAAGATCCACCTGCCTCTGCCTCCTGAGTGCTGGGATTAAAGGCGTGCGCCACTACTGTCCAGCCAAGACAGGGTTTCTTTAGTAACCCGGCTGTCCTAGAACTAGCTCTGTAGACCAGACTGGCCTCGAACTCACAGAGATTCGCTGCCTCTGCTTCCTGAGTGCTGGGATCAAAGACATGTGCCACCACCACCCAGCTACACAAAGCATTCTTATTCCCAGTGTGACAAAGTAGATTCGGAACTTCCACATTCCTCATAGTAAACACCAATCAAATTGGGAAGGACTACCCTAGTAGCTAAGAAACCCAGGACTCAGTCATGGCCACTACTTTTTAATTGCGTGTTTTTTGAGACAGAATCTCACTATGTAGCCTTGGCTAGCCTAGAACTTGAAATGAAGAACAGGCTGGCCTCCAACTCACAGAGATCTTCCTGTCTCTTCCTCCGAAGCACTGGGTTAAAGATATGAGCTTCCATGCCCAATCAAAACCACTATTTTGAACCTGGGCTGTATTATTATTATTATTATTATTTTATATTGATTTGTTGGTTGATTTTTCAGGACAGTGTATCTGTGTAATAGCTCTGGCTGAACAAATGCTGCTATCTCTAGAGAGAGGGTGAACCCAAGTGATCTATAAATAACCCAAAGCTGCAACTAGCTCTCCCCAAATAGCTGCAATGAAAATAGCTCAAGAAGCCCTGCACCCCAACTACTCTTCTAGAAGCAGCAGAGAGCAGGGATTCTTGGCTTAGAAAAATACTTGTGGGGCCAGCAAGGCCCAGTCTGATCCAGCCCAGTTCTCCCTCTATTGCCAGTCTGGTCAAGTCACCTCCTGCATTTTGTGCACCAGGTACACATTAATGCTTCTTCTGACCTTGATGTGTGTACACTATTCTTCCCTGAGCTAAAGGAAACCATTATTCCATCACAATCAACCTTGGATCCCAGAGATAGGAACAGGTGGCCTCCAAGGACTGTCCTTGTGCTCCTCCCTAAGTCCTGCTGGGTCAGCACTCCAGACCTCTATGAAAAGATGGGCCCTATGACAGCTGACTAGCTAAAGCTCTAGGTGAGGTCACTAAGCCTATGACTTACAATTTTTAGAGACTCTGATGAGTTGTCGTGGTACACATCTTTAATCTCAGTGCTTGGAGGCAGAGGCAAGTAGATCTCTGTGAGTATAAGACCAGCCTGGTCTACAAAGAGAGTTGTCTCAAAAGCAAAGCAAAACAACAACCAAAAGAATGATTTGTTTTGTTTTTAAATATTTATTTATTTATTTATTTATTATGTATACAGTATTCTGTCTGCAGGCCAGAAGAGGGCACCAGACCTCATTACAGATGATTGTGAGCCATCATGTGGTTGCCAGGAATTGAACTCAGGACCTTTGAAAGAACAGGCAATGCTCTTAACCACTGAGCCATCTCTCCAGCCTTAAAAGGATGATTTGGAACTGAAGAGATGTCTTGGTGCTTAAGATGCCTTGCAGGCTGGAGAGATAGCTCAACATTTAAAAGGCTGTTCTTCGAAAGGACCTGGGTTCAATTCCCAGCACCCACATGGTAGCTCACAATTGTCTGTAACTCCAATTCCAGAGCATCCTACACCCTCACAAAGACATACATGTAGGCAAAACACTGACACACACACAAAGAAATAAAATGAGAAACAATTAAGCAAAAGAAAGGAAAGGAAACACGTTGCTCTGCAGAGGACAGTACCCACATGGTGGTTAGCAAGCATCTAACTCCCATCTGTAACTCCAGTTCCAAGGAATCTGATCCATTCTTATTTCTCCCAGCATCATGTAGACAAGTGGTGTACATATATATATATATATATATATATATATATATGCAGGAAAAATGCTCATACACATAAATAAAATTTAAATATATCTTAAATTGAGTGTGGTAGCTAATGCTTTTAGTCCCAGCACTCAGGAGGCAGGGGCTGGCAGATCTCTGAGTTTGAGGCCAGTCTGTTCCAGAATAGCCTACATAAACCCTGTCTCAAAAGGACAGAAAGAAAAATATATGTGAGCTGGGTGGTGTTGGGCACACGCCTTTAATTCCAGCACTCGAAAAGCAGAGGCAAGTGGATCTCTGAGAGTTTGAGGCGAGTGTGGTCTACAGAAACCCTGTGTCAAAAAAACAAAACAAAACAAATTATTGTGTTTATGTGTCTGTGTGATCTTAACAAATTTCTTCTACTTTAGAAGAAACAATGCTTTTAGTAGAAAGCCGAAGAAGATGCATGATGTGTGTGTGCATGTATATATTGGGGTAGGGGATAAACTGACTCCTATCCTTGGGTATGTATGAAACTCCTGTACTCTGGGCTGGAGAGCAGCTCAGCAGGAGAACACTGCTGTTCTTGCAAAAGACCCAGGTTTGTTTCCCAGCATCCACATTGCTAGCTTACAACACATAAGAACTCCAGTTCTGCCAGTCAGTGGTGGCACATGCCTTTCTTTAATCCTAGCACTTGAGAGGCAGAGGCAGGAGAATATCTGTGAGTTCGAAGTCAGCCTGGTCTACAGAGTGAATACCAGGACACCCAAGGCTACAGTGAGAAACCTGTCTTGAAAAACACAAAACAAAAAAGAGAACTCTATTTCCAGGGGATCTGATACCCTCTTCTGGACTCTGTACCCCAGGCATGCACATGGTGTATATATTTCATTCATATAAAATGAAAATAAACCTTCAAAACAAACCCTCTGACAAACCTTAGAAGATTTTAATTTGGCTCTTGGGCAGATGTCATACTAAATACCCTAGGTGGCCTTCCAGTTCCTCCATTAGTACAAATAATATTATTTAAAAGACCTGTCATAGAGCAGGAGGTGGTGGCACACACCTTTAATCCCAGCATTTAGGAAGCAGAGGCAGGTGGATTTCTGAGTTTGAGGCCAGCCTGATTTACAGATCAAGTTCCAGGACAGCCAGGGCTACACAGAGAAACCCTGTCTTGAAAAAAAAACAACAAAAAAAGCCTTGTCGTGGAAGTATCCTGGGACATTCAGCCCTCAAATTCCTGCTTTGTAACAAGGCCAACTTTCTCTGAAAGAAACTCTTTTTCTAACCTGGTCACACAGCAATCTGGACAACAAAACAATACTACAGAGACCAGCTAACATCAAAGAAGAACTGGCAGGATGACAGAAACTCAATCACACAATAGAAACGGGTCAGCACACAGTGGTCCACTGAGTACTCCAAACGTGCATTCACCCGACTCTGCTCTTAGTTGAGAGCTACCTCCCGGAGGAGGCCAGGAAGGGAAAACTGACAAGGCTCCACAGCGCTCCTGAGCTCCTAACACTGTGTGCTTCTGCAGCACACACTCAGAGCCTGCTCTGAGTAGGGAGAGGCTGGTTTGTTTGTTTGTTTTTGTTTTGTTTTGTTTTTTAGGATCTCTAGCCTGGCCTTGAGCTCTCTATGTAGTTGAGATTGATCTTGAACTTCTGATCCTCTTGCTTTTATCCAGTGCTGGATATCAAATCTTTGTGCATGCAAAACAAGCATCCTGCAAACTAAGCTACATCCTTAGCCAAGATAGAAGCTACCTAAGGATTAACTATATCAAATACTGGATTATGTTTTGATTAAAAGTTAAATCTAGAATAGAGAATACCTATAATTCTAGGTTCTTTAATAATTGGTTTTTTAACCTTGGTTTTCCAAGAGTTATGAAAGTAAAGTCATCATACCTTTGAAGTGAGGTCCCGATGGAAAACACCTTTGAAGTGAAGGTAGCTGAGGCCCACTGCTATGTCATAGGCCAGTTTCACTCTCGCAGTCCAGGGCAAATACAGATTACTGGCTAGCAGCTGTTCCAGGTTCCCAGAGTTGATATACTGCAAAACAGAAGGAAAGCCCAGCTATTCTTTATCAGAAATGTTTAGGCTGGCATGGAAAAAGCTGGTAAAAGCATGGAAGAGCAAACACCTAGAAACTACATTTTTTTTTTAAGGATTTACTTCATGACTTTTCTGCCTTTTTGCTAAGATCAAATGGAAAGATTTATTTTTATATGTATGAATGTTTGCAGGCATGTGAATATGTGTATCACATGCATGCCTGATGCTCACAGAAGCCAGAAAAGGGTGTCAGATCTGGAGTTAGAGATGGCTGTAAGCCACCACTGGGTGCTTGGAACTTGGATCCTCTGCTGAGAGTGCTCAAACACTGAGCCAACAGCAGCCATTTATTGTCTTGAGGTAGTGTGTTGGGATAATCTTTTTGTACACTATGTGAAGATGTGTCTCTGTCCTTCCTCACCTGCATAATGTGCCTTCTGATTGGTTTAATAAAAAGCTGAGCAGCCAATAACTAGGCAGGAGAGGATAGGTGGGACTTCTGGGCAGAGATAGGATCTGGGAAGGAATCTGAGGAGTGGGGGATTCACCAGCAAGACATGGAGGAAGTCAGATGCACTGTACTGAGGAAAAGTAACAAGTCATATGGCAGATAACATGTTAATAATGAAAATAATAAGAATTTGATAAGATACAAGCCTTAGAATTTAAGGTGGTTTTTGGTTTTCCAAGACAGGGTTTCTTCAGATAGCAGCTCTGGTTGTCCTAGAACTTGCTCTGATGAGCAGGCTGGCTTCAAACTCACAGAGATCCACCTACCTCTGCCTCCCAAGTGCTGGGATTAAAGGTGTGCAGCACCTCCACCTGGCCTAGCCTAGAATTTAAGTTTTAAGAGCTAGTTGGGAACAAGACTAAGCTAAGGCTAAAAGCTCTCATAATTAATAAGTCTCGGTGTCATTATTTGGATGTTCAAAGAAAGACCTGTTATAGCAGTGTTTGATGTAACAGAAGCTGATCTCAAATTCACTGCATAGCCAGGGGTGGCTCTGAATTCTTCCTCCTTATCTCCACCTCCCAAGTGCTGTTATTACAGGCATTTACCAACATGCCTAGATCTTTTCTACATTTTTTAAAAATTTGTTTGAGACTATATAGTCTCAGCCATCCTGGAACTCAGTTTGTAGACCAGGCTCTCTCTGAACTCATAGAGATCCATCTGCCTCTGCTTCCTGGGTGCTAGGATTAAAAGTGTGTACCACCACAGGCAAGATTCATTTTTATTATACTATGTGTATGTATGTCAGTATGAGTCTAATGAGGGATGTGTCAGCCACTTGAGGAATCCAGAAAAAAGTGTCAGATCGCTTGAAGTTGGAGCTGCCTCACAGGGGTACCTGGAACTGAACTTGTTCAGTGCTCTTAACTGCTGAGCCATCTCTCCAGCCCCCCCAGTTCCATCAAACACCTTTTTAAAAAGTCATTTTATGACTAGGCATGATGACACACACCTTTAATCCTTGCATTTGGAAGGCAAAGGCAGGTGGATCTCCGTTCAAGGCCAGCCTGGTCTACAGATCAAGTTCCAGGACAGCCAGGGCTACACAGAGAAACTCTGTCTCAAAAAAAAAAATCATTTTACACCAGGCATGGTACCTTATGACTATAACCCCAGCATCCATAAGGCAGAAGGAAGATTACCATGAGTTTAAGATCAGCCTGGCCTACATAGTGAGTTCTAAAGCTACTACAAAGTGAGACCTTGTCTTAGAAAAAAAGAAAAAAATAAGAGTTAAGAACTAAATCTAGCAGGAGACTAAAATTTAGGAAGTTAAAAACCTTGAGCTGGAGTGATTACTGACTTCAAGAACAGAGGAAATAGCCTGGGGGTAACACACAGGTGAGAAACTGGAATCCTTAGGAAAGAAAGGTAAAGTTTAAAGGAAAAAGAAAGATAAATTGAAGAAGAAAGCATGCCACAATTCCACCGTCTAGGAAGGATGTGGGAGGATCAAGAATTTGAGTCTAACCTCTCTAATACACGCACACACACACACACACACACACACAGAGCTGGTTTGGTGGCACATGCCTTTAATGCCACCACTCAGAGGCAGGTGGATCTTCTGGTCTACATAATGAGTTCCAGGCCAGAATCTCACCATAAAAACTAAAAGAAGAAAAGAGCCGAATAAGATGTGCTTGAAAAAAAAGTCCATTTGCCACTCGGACATGGGGATGTCACTAGCAGCCATGTCAGAGCAGTCAGTGAGTAAGACCAGAGTTAGACCAAAGTGAGCGGAATAGGAGGACACAGGGCTATGGAAGAACTAAAGAACGTACTCTTCCAAGAATCTGCTGTTCTTCATTATTCCCACAAATCCTTGAAGCACTGCTTTGTGAGGTCTTTGCTATTTTGTTTGTTTAGAACCAGTCTCACCAGGTAACCTAGGCTGGCCTTGAACTCAGGACCCTCTTCCCCCAACTTCCCAAACGCCACCACACCCAGCTCTGTGATTAGCTTTTAAAGAAAAAAAAAAAAAAGATTCACGTCGGGTGGTGGCAGCACACACCTTTAATCCCAGCACCCGGGAGGCAAAGGCAGGTAGAGCTCTGTGAGTTCAAGGCCAGCCTGGTCTACAAAGTGAGTTCCAGGACAGCCAGAGCTAAACAGTGAAACCCTGTCTTGAAAAACAAAAACAAACAAAAAGATTCATGTGTATTGATGTTTTGCCTGTATGTAAGTATGTGTACCACCTGTGTGTCTGGTGCCCTTTGAGATCACAAGAGGATGTTGGAGCTCCTAAAACTGGAGTTAATAGGTGGCTGTGAGCCACCATGTAAGTAGTGGGGACTGAACCTGGGCTCTCTGCAAGAACAAGTGCTTTTCAGAACTAACTCTCCAGTCCCCTGTGATAAGTTTGTTGTTTATTTTTCAAGACAGGGTTTCTCTATGTAGCCCTGGCTATTCTGGAATTCAGTTTGTAGACCAGGCTGGCCTCGAATTCACAGAGATCCACTTGTCTCTGCTTCCTGTGGTATGCACCACCACCACATGGCTCCTGATTTTTTTTTTTTTTCAAAGTAAGACTGAAGAAGTGGCTGGGTGTGGTAGTATATGCCTTTAATCCCACTACTCGGGAAGCAGATCTCTGAGTTTGAGGTCAGAAAGTGCTACATAGTGAGACCCTGTCTAAAGAAAAAGAGAGAGAAAATAGCAAAAAAAACTATGTTTATATATAGATCACAATACACTAATTATTTTTTCAATGAATATTTATATAATGCTTGCACTACACCAAACACTTCTAAAAATTGTGTATACACAATCTTATTTAATCTATACAACAACCTCACAAGGTAAGTGAGCTATAGGATGAGTATCCCTTGTCTAAAATGTTTAAGACCAAAGGTATTTCCGATTTCAGAGTTTTTCTAATTTTGGAGCAAGTACAATACCATCTGTATTACTCTCATATGACAAAAGACATTTAAAGGTTAAGCAAGGTTATTCAATTATTAAGGGTAAAATCAGGCAGACAATATAGTCTGGTTCCAGAGTACATCTTTTAAAAATATATTCATTATACAAGGAGTTAGAGGTCATAGCATTTGACTGAGATAGCTCAATGCAGAACAGGAACTAAAAAGGGAATTTACTCAACCCTTTCAAGATACATCATCCCCCTCCTCTTTCCAAGAGAGAAAAAGGAACAAATTGTACAAGTAAAATGAGTATACTTTTTTAGAACATGATATTGAACTTAAAAGGACTAGAGGACCTAACTGGTATAATGAGCAAGAGATATGATTGAATTCTAGTCAATTATTCCTCCTATGAACCATTTAATTTTGAAAAAAAATCAATAAGGTTAGCTGTCCTTCAATTTTCCCATCTATTAAGTAGGCATACCTGATCCACCTAACTCACAATCTTTTTGTTTGATGTTGTTTCAAATGAGAATATAATAAATACATGGATGTGCTCAGAAAAGAACATGGTAATAGAATAGAAGCATCAGAAGAAACCAGTTGGGGGCAGCACCATGCAGCAGATCAGATCTGTATATGAAGCAGAGCAGGTTTGGTAACACAGAGAGAATAGCTAAAAACACACCTCCTAATTCTCAAAAGGAAAGCCTGCGTGCTTGCCTGATCCCGCTTTGTAATTCACCTTGGGCATCTTACAACAGTGTATAATGGAAGATTTAGCACAACTTCTCACTCTAGGGGAATCTGTCCAAGTACACAACAGACGTGTCCACAGCTGAAAAGAAATCAAATTTGTAAGCTCCAAACTATAGGGAGCAATGTGGCTAACATCTGACCATGTAGCAAACTTCCTTAGTTTTGAGAATCAAAATATCTAAAGAAATAGTTTGCTTCTTTGACACATGGTGGCAGCCTGACATGGAAGGCTTGTCTTCAGGAACCACTCGGCTTACAAGGCTGAACGTCAGGCAGAAGAAACGAAGACTGCATTTTTGAAGGCCTGGTGATGCTAGGACCCTTGGTTTTGGTTCAGATAAACATATATGTATTTACAATTATGTATGAAAGCCAGGATGTGGTGGCTTGCATCTATATTTGTAATACTTGGGATGCTAAAGTAAGGTTCAAGGCCAGCCTGGACTACACAGTGAGTTCAGATCAGACCAGGCTTCACAGAAGGATCCAGTGTAAACGGAAAGGGAGGATAAAAGGAGAACTACATCTGTAGACCAGCTAGATGGTGGACAGCAAAGAAAAGCTGAGATCCTGGCTTCCCTAGGCAGGATGGGAAAATAGAAATCAGGTCCAGACAGGGAAACCAAACAGAATTATTAATATTATTATTATTATTATTTACAATCCATTTTGTCTTGCTTGATGCTGGAGAATATATTGGTGGGGCTGATAAGCCTCTGGGCCCTCAAAAACCACAACTTCTCTTTGTCTCAAGACCATGCATGCATGTATGAAGAAAGGAAGTTTGAGATCTGCCAACAAGGAAGATTTCGAGGTTGCTAAACACTGTGTGCCCCATTAGTGGGAACATTCAC